TAATGTCACCAGTGTTGGTGGTGAGGACCATAAACCTCACACTGGAGAATAATGTCACCAGTGTTGGTGGTGAGGACCATAAACCTCACACTGGAGAATAATGTCACCAGTGTTGGTGGTGAGGACCATAAACCTCACACTGGAGAATAATGTCCCCAGTGTTGGTGGTGAGGACCATAAACTTCACACTGGAGAATAATGTCACCAGTGTTGGTGGTGAGGACCATAAACCTCACACTGGAGAATAATGTCACCAGTGTTGGTGGTGAGGACCATAAACTTCACACTGGAGAATAATGTCCCCAGTGTTGGTGGTGAGGATCATAAACCTCACACTGGAGAATAATGTCACCAGTGTTGGTGGTGAGGACCATAAACCTCACACTGGAGAATAATGTCACCAGTGTTGGTGGTGAGGACCATAAACTTCACACTGGAGAATAATGTCACCAGTGTTGGTGGTGAGGACCATAAACCTCACTCTGGAGAATAACATTTTTTCCGTCGTCGGCGTCACCTGGGCGCCTCGCACCTCCCCCGAGGTCGTGCTAGCACTCCTCGGCTTGGTGTTTCCCACACCGGCTTCTCCACGGCACACAGCCTGGCATAATAACCCACTTCATGACCAAGAAAATTAACTACAATAAAGACTCGGAAGTAGACACAACCTGTCTACCCTAGGATTCTAAGATACCATTTAGTTGTTCTAAACAGGAGAAAACCTTAATGATAGGCATTGCAGAACCTCCAAAATTTTCTAGCCTAACACCAGCCCCCCCAGTGTTCATCTAATTGTAAGTTAAATTGTGTTTAGATTTTAAGTAGCAGCCTCACCAAGGCTCACTCTCAGGTCAACTTTCCATGACAACTGATCCACTCTCCTAACTGTAAATCATCCAATATTCTATACTACCTATTATGAAACCATATGTTGGTACCATATTACAGTACCGTATGATGGTACCATATGACAGTACCATATGACAGTATTTTACAATGGTACCATATGCCAGCACAATATGATAGTACCATATTTATTTATTTATTTATTAATTTGAACATGATACAGTGAGGTACAAAGTTATTACAGTGTAACATGCCAAAGCACCTTGTATATAGAGCATTATGGGCAGGCTTAAAATTAACTTAAGATTAACTAAGCAATGATATATATTCAGTGGTACAAACATTATTGTAAACAGATAACGATTTAGTACAAATGAGTATTACAAAGACAGGTCATATGGTCATTACTGTGTTGTTGTGTAATCACTAGAATGGAGTATTATCTTAGGTAATGTAATTAAAAAATAAAGTTTGATTGGGTCACAGGTTAAACATTTATGAGATACAATTATTCAGTATTTATTTAGTTGTGGGTGAGTAAGTGATTTTTGAGAAGAGACTTGAATTTATAAACAGCAGTGTTTCTTTTATATTCACAGGTAATGAATTCCAGATTTTAGGGCCTTTTATGTGCATTGAGTTTTTGTATAGTGTGAGATGGACACAAGGAACATCAAAGAGTGATCTGTGTCTTGTGTTATGGTCATGTGTTCTGTTGAGGTTGGCAAGGAGATGTTTGAGGGGAGGGTTTATGTCAGAGTTAAGTGTTCTATGTATGTAATAGGTGCAGTAATAAGTATGGATGTTTTGTATTGTGAGTAGGTTTAGAGTTTTGAATATTGGTGGAGTGTGCTGCCTGTAGTGGGAATTAGTTATCATTCTGACTGCAGCCTTTTGTTGGGTAATTAGTGGTCTGAGATGGTTTATTGTTGTTGAGGCCCATGCACAAATTCCATAGGTGAGATAGGGGTAAATAAGAGAGTGATATAGGGCCAGGAGGGCTGACTGTGGAACATAGTACCGTATCTTCGATAGTATGCCTACAGTCTTGGAGATTTTCTTAGAAATTTGTTGTATATGTGTATGAAATTTGAGTCTATTATCAAGGTGGATTCCTAAGAATTTTCCCTCTGTGAGTTTTGTGATAGGTGATCCGTTTATCATTATGTTAAGAGACACATCTGTAGCTCTGTTACCAAACTGAATGAAGTAGGTTTTGTCAATGTTTAGTGTAAGTTTGTTAGTCCTCATCCAGGTAGATATTTTCTGTAATTCAGTGTTTACAGTATTGGCTAGCGTGACTGGGCTCGGGTGAGAGAAGACGTATGTAGTGTCATCTGCAAAAAGTGTGGGTTTGAGTAATTGCGAAGCATTTGGTAGGTCATTTATGTATATGAGAAAGAGAAGAGGGCCAAGGACACTTCCCTGTGGGACACCAACTGTAATTGGTTGTGCGGAAGAGCTTGCCCCATTTGCGTACACATATTGGCTTCTGTTGCTGAGGTATGACTTAAGGTAGTTGAGGGAGTGCCCTCTTACACCATAGTGTGACAATTTTACGTGGAGCAAGTCATGGTCAACTGTATCAAAAGCTTTACGTAAGTCAATGAAGATCCCCAGTGGGACTTCTTTTTTCTCTATTGCAGTGTATATGTGTTCTAGTATGTGTATAATAGCATCATTAGTATTTTTATTAGGCCTGAACCCAAATTGACAGGGGTTGAGAATGTTATGGGAGATGAGGTAGGAGTGGATGCGTTTATGAATTAATTTTTCGAAGATTTTAGAGGGTGTAAGTTGGATATTGGCCTATAGTTATTCAAATCTGTTTGGTCTCCTCCTATATGGATCAGGGTGACACTTGCTATTTTGAGAACTGTAGGGAAGGTGGAGGATTCTATGGATTCGTTAAAGAGTGTTGCAATGATTGGTGATAGTACTTGTGATGCTTTTTTGTATATAAAGGGTGGTAAGGTGTGTTGATAATAAGGGAGACTTCAGTTGGGTTAGTCGGAGCTAGGAACAGTGTGTTCAGGTCTTTTTTATATCACCTCGTAAGTTGGATAATCTGTTCTCATAATACAATTTTTTAGCCCTTCTTATTAGGCTGGTTAGGATTGACGAGTAACTTTTTGTTTGTTCTCTGGTTATGTGACCCATTCTGTACTGTTTTTCGTATAGGTGCTTTGTATTTATGGATTTGAGGATGTTGGGTGTTAGCCAGGGACTGTTCAGTCTCTTAGCTGTCATCTGTTTAGTTTTTGGGGGGCAGTGCTTGTTATAGAGGTATTGGGTCTTTTTTAGAAAATTATTAATACATTCGTCAATATCTGTATAGATTTCTAGCTCAGTGTGCCAGTCAATGTTTGTTACTGCTGTTGTGAAGTTATTAATGGCTGCCTCATTGTGAAGTCTGAAAGTGACTTTAGTAGTGTCTAGGGGTAATTTGCCAAGGTTTGTGATGAGGAAGGTAGGGTAGTGGTCTGTGGTATTATCTGTGATTATGCCTGATTTTAAAGGGGCTATGGTGTTGGTCCAGATGTGGTCAAGTAGGGAAACACTAGTCTCTGTAACTCTTGTAGGTTTTGCTACTGATGGTAGCAACGTGCAGTTACTCATAGTGTTTGTGAATTCAGTAACATGTGGGTCTTGGTGTTGTAGGAGATTTATATTGAAGTCACCTGAGAGTAGTAAGTGATCTTTGTTCATGCGTGCATCAGTTATCATACTTCCTAGGTTGTCACTAAAACGGCTAATGTTTGACTGTGGAACTCTGTAGATGTTTATCACTGTGAGAGGTTTTTGTAGGTATTTGGATTTGAATTTAGCTATTATATATTATATATGATGGTACTGTTAGACAGTACCATGTAATGGCAGCAGCACTGGTCTCGTAAAGTTTAACTGGAGGTCACTCCGGCGTGAGTGACAAACTGGTGCCAACATCACACACACCTGACAGTACCCTACCAACATCCCACACACCTGCCACACTGAACCATGCCAACATCCCACACACCTGCCACACTGAACCATGCCAACATCCCACACACCTGCCACACTGAACCCGAAGTTCCATCATTGCTGCTCCGTCTCTGTTCCTTCCTCAAACATCAGTAATGTTGAACCTGTTTGTTAAAATAATGTAGTAGAGGTTGCTGGAGGTTATGACTTTCACAAGTGTGTACACACACACACATGTGCACGTTAGTACTATAAATAATACTACCACCTAACACACACACACACACACACACACACACACACACACACACACACACACACACGTTTGTAAACATTTGTAATAATTCTGATAACTTACATTAAAGACTGAACAAGATATCCGCAGCTCTTCTGCAAATGTTCGTTTACAAATAATAAATTACTAAGGCGAAAAAGACACATTTAATACAAGAGTGAAATTGTTATTTCAATGACTTTGATCAAGGTTCATACACGAGGCCAAATATTAGTAATGTAATTATGTACACGACGACAAGTTGGTAAGTGGAAGGAAGTGTTTAGGAAATATGTAGCAAGTGCAATGTGTTCAACCAGTTGTTGTTGAACTGTGTGTGTGTGTGACAGTCTGTCAATCTCTGCTATGTGTGTGTGTGTGACAGTCTGTCAATCTCTGCTATGTGTGTGTGTGTGACAGTCTGTCAATCTCTGCTATGTGTGTGTGTGTGACAGTCTGTCAATCTCTGCTATGTGTGTGTGTGTGACAGTCTGTCAATCTCTGCTATGTGTGTGTGTGACAGTCTGTTAATCTCTGCTATGTGTGTGTGTGACAGTCTGTCAATCTCTGCTCTGTATGTGTCAGTATGTCAAACTCTGCTGTGTGTGTATTGTTAGTCAAACTCCACTCTGTGTGTCAGTCTGTCAAACTTTGGTCTGTGCATGTCAGTGTGTCAGACTCTGCTGTGTGTATGTCAGTCTGTCAACCCTACTGTGTGTGTGTGTGTCAGTCTGTCAACTCTGCTGTGTATGTGTGTGTTAGTCTGTCAACTCTGCTGTGTGTTTGTCAGTGTGTCAACTCTGTTGTGTGTGTGTGTGTCAGTCTGTCATCTCTGTTGTGTGTGTCAGTCTGTCACAAGTATATCCCAGGGCTAGCATCCCACACTCATATTTCAACCACCTCTCATGCAACTCACCTGGTATTGCTAGTTGACAAGGGAAGGCAATCGAAGTAAACAGGTAGCGTTTCCTGCACCGTTGACACTGTTCAGTTATTCAACTCTTAACTCATATTCCAGCAGAAACACTCGCCAAGTTAGACAAAAATCCAACTAATTTCTCACTAATATTTTTACTTTGGAAATTCCTTTGGGTTCTTTTCTTCAGTCAGTGAACGTTCCACGAACTTGGTCTTAGATATCAATATTGTTTTCTTAATCCATCGGTAAGTCAAATCTCAGTGAAAAGCGGGAGGTGTCCGGGATGGCGAGGCGGCCACCCACCCCACAACACAGCCAGCTACACACTAACTTTCCATCCTCAGGACCTGTTGCCCACTACTTCCAGTCCTTCCAGTTGCTCACTCGTCTATTTCTACCGCGAGAAATATGTGTCTGACGTGACTTTTTTAAGGAGATCTGCCGACTATCTGCCGACTTGGTTTATTCAACAACGATCATTTTGATAAAGAAACCAACCATGTATTTGCTCAGCAGGAACATCAGAAGGAACATCGTGAAATTATAATAAACTGTGATTCAAAGACATTTGTGAAATGACTTAAGAAATCGTAATGGCACGATTGCAAATAAACCATACCCCCGGCCGGGATTGAACCCGCGGTCATAGAGTCGGGCTGGAGTTTTGAGACTCTATGACCGCGGGTTCAATCCCGGCCGGGGGTATGGTACATTTGTGAAATACTAAAATTAAATTGGGTAGGATTAATCTTTCAATTAATATAAATAGTAAGAATGATGGACAAAGATATTAGGTTAATTTTTGGTCTTCTGCTTATATTTTAATTACAGGTTAATTCACTTGAGAATGTCTGTCAACGAAATACATGCGTGTACATAAACACACACACTCCCCTCTCCTATCTCTCTTTCTCTCCCTCTCTCTCTTCCCTCTCTCTCCCCTCTCTCTCCCCTTCTCCCCTCTCTCTCCCTCTCTCTTCCCCTCTCCTCTCTCTCCCCTCTCTCTTTCCCTCTCCCTCCTCTCTCCCCTTCTCCCCTGTCTCTCTCTCTCCCCCTCTCCTCTCCCCCCTCTCTCTCTCTCTCTTTTACACAGTGTTTGACAAGGTTAAGGATCCCTAGCATTATTGACAAGTTAAGAGCTGTTACCTACATCAGCTCATTTGAAAGCATTTTTATTGTTATGAGACATACAAGTAGGGAACAGGATGAAGTTGGAGCCATCTGTGGGTCAGCATTTTCATTTGATCAACTGACTTTATCTCGTTGACATCATTATGCTGTACGAATGTGTTCCATACTCGAGTCATCCTGGGTATGTATGATCTCAGATGGAGTGATGTTCTGGAGAAGGGTACAGCCAGAGTGAAGTTGCTGCTTTCTGCCCGTCTTGTGGCATAAAAGCTTGTTTCACGCTGTCCTCGAAGTGGATCCAAGTGTGGTATTTTGACAATATTGGCCTTGTACATAACAGTAAGGCCACCCACATCCCTCCTATGTTGAAGGCTCTGCTGAAATGACAGATCTATCCAGGATGGGTCCAGGCGAGAGATGAGACGTCTTGTTCTGTTCTCTACTCTGTCAAGCAGTCGCAGATGAGAGGGGAGTGGGCAGGCAAACCAAGAAAGTGGAGCATACTCAAGGTGTGAGCGTACTTGTGCCTCGTACAGAATCTTGCAACCCCTAGTGTCAAGCAGATGTGAGATACGGCGAAGTGCTGTAAGCTTCCTGGCTGCCTTGTTTGCAAGAGAACTGGCAGGGAAATCAGTAAACGAGATGATGGAATATGTAACAACAATATGCAAAGAAGCTGAGGAGAGGTTTGTACCCAAGGGTAATAAGAACAGTGAAAAAGCCAGGATGAGCCCATAGGTGTGATCACCCAAAGGTGCAGGGAGGCAAAAACCAAGTGTGCTAGTGAATGGAAGAAATATAGAAGGCAAAGGACCCAGGAGAATAAGGAGAGCAGTCGTAGAGCCAGAAACGAATATGCACAGATAAGAAAGGAGGCCCAACGACAATATGAAAACGACATAGTAGCGAAAGCCAAATCTGACCCAAAGTTGTTATACAGCCACATCAGGAGGAAAACAACAGTCAAGGACCAGGTAATCAAGCTAAGGAAGGAAGGAGGAGAGACAACAAGAAACGACCGCGAAATATTTGAGGAACTCAACATGAGATTCAAAGAAGTGTTCACAGAGGAGACAGAAGGGACTCCAGAAAGACAAAGAGGTGGGGTACACCATCAAGTGCTGGACACAGTACACACAACTGAGGAAGAAGTGAAGAGGCTTTTGAGTGAGCTAGATACCTCTAAGGCGATGGGGCCGGATAACATCTCGCCATGGGTCCTGAGAGAGGGAGCAGAGGCGCTACATGTATCCCTAACAACAATATTCAACACATCTATCGAAGCAGGGAGATTACCTGAGGTAAGGAAGACAGCAAATGTAGTCCCCATTTTTAAAAAAGAGGACAGACATGAAGCACTATACTACATACCAGTGTCACTGATATGTATCGTATGTAAAGTCATGGAGAAGATTATCTGGAGAAGAGTGGTGGAACACCTAGAAAGGAATGATCTCATCAACAACAGCCAACATGGTTTCAGGAACGGGAAATCCTGTGTCACAAACCTACTGGAGTTCTATGACATGGCGACAGAAGTAAGACAAGAGAGAGAGGGGTGGGTAGATTGCATTTTCTTGGACTATAAGAAGGCGTTTGACACAGTTCCACACAAGAAATTAGTGCAAAAACTGGAGAACCAGGCAGGGATAACAGGGAAGACACTACAATGGATCAGGGAATACTTGTCAGGAAGAGAGCAGCGAGTCATGGTACGTGGCGAGGTGTCAGAGTGGGCACCTGTGACCAGCGGGGTCCCACAGGGGTCAGTTCTAGGACCAGTGCTGTTTCTGGCATTTGTGAACGACATGACGGAAGGAATAGACTCTGAGGTGTCCCTGTTTGCAGATGATGTGAAGTTGATAAGAAGAATTCAATCGGACGAAGACCAGGCAGAACTACAAAGGGATCTGGACAGGCTGCAGACCTGGTCCAGCAATTGGCTCCTGGAGTTCAACCCAAAGACAGAGTACAGTCTAGGGGGCCAGAGACTACAGCAGATCTTGGGGTGAGTATAACACCAGACACATCTCCAGAGGCGAACATCAACCAAATAACTGCTGCAGCATATGGGCTCCTAGCAAACCTCAGAACAGCATTCCGATATCTTAATAAGAAATCGTTCAGGACCCTGTACACCGTGTACGTTAGGCCCATATTGGAGTATGCGGCACCAGTTTGGAACCCACACCTAGCCAAGCACATAAAGAAACTAGAGAAAGTGCAAAGGTTTGCAACAAGACTAGTCCCAGAGAGGTTAAGTTGGCAGGAGTCATTTGACGAATCTTCACGTCTTCCTCCTCCCTCTCTCTCTCTCTCTCTCTCTCTCTCTCTCTCTCTCTCTCTCTCTCTCTCTCTCTCTCTCTCATCTCCTAGTGGAGGTAATACCTCCTTTCTCTTTCCCTGTCTGGGAGAACGCTGTTATCAGCTCCTGTTATTTTTACTCTGTTGTTAACAGTGTATATTTCCATTGGTGAGCCAGGTCATATATCTCCTCTGTTCACAGAACTTTATTTTGAGTTAGCGTGAGGGATAAGTTTATTAGATACGAGTATTGCAAGTATGGCTGTATGGTAGTGGTAGTTTGTTGGGCAGTCTGCTTGTTAAGATACGGTGAGTGACTACCTCCCACTATCTCCCTCTCTTTTAACACCTGGTGGTAGGTGACGTGGGCGTCTCCGACCTGTGGGGAATCACTTGACTGGCAACTCCCAACGCATCTCTACGTATTCGTTCTGCTCCTGTCTAATATATTTTGGGATTGCTTGTCTTAAGAGCTTCACGTTTATTTTGGGTTTTGGACTAAGTTATTCCTGCTTTGATCTGAATATTCAAGTATATCATTTGTTGAATCCTCACCATTTCTTTGAAAGGCCGTACGTCTATTGTGTGAGTGATTTTTCGAGTGGTGTAACTGTGTTTATCATTCTAGCCTTGACTGTCGACTAGGGTCACCCGGCACATGCAGAGGCAAGTTTAGGGAGTATTGATCAAGAGATCAAAGAAACGTCGCTACACCCATCTACCTACACTGGTCCGACCCCCACTCACCTGTAGCCGACCAACTACACACTCTTCAGTTACTCGGCATTCTCCCAGTTGTAACTACACCAGTGTTTCTGGTGTACTTAAACTGCTTCAACACTGCGTTGATCAGAGGAACGGTCCCTCTCTCCTTGGCAGAATCCATAAGAGTGTTGGGGACACAGCCACTGAACTAATCACGACTAGCTGTGCCCCCCCCATCACCAACAACGGCTCTAAGTTCCAGAATCATTCAAAGTCGTGCCCAGAACATCGGCATGGCAAAGGCATATCATCCATTGTGTACATATTAGATTTTGCATCACTAATTATTTAAATTTCATTTTTATTAAAGTACGATTAATTTGGAAACATAAACACTTAAGCAGTGAAACGTGATCCTTTACTGACAACGTTTCGCCAACACACTGAGCTTTATAAAGCCACGAACAAATCTGTTCGTAACTTGATAAAGCTCACTGTGTGGGAGAAAGTTTATATCCATGGTGTCGGTATTTTAAATCATTTATTGCCAGGATTAATTTCATGTTTAATTGTTTTATATTATTGATGTTTATTTTAATTGTTTATCTTATGTTATTAATGAATTCTCTATTTTCTTTCCATAACGAGGAGCCAACATGTATACTGGCGACCTTGCCAGTATACATGCTAACAGGGCTGAGAAAACCTTCACAAGTGGCGACCTTGCCAGTATACATGCTGACAGTAAACCTTCACAAGTGACGACCTTGCCAGTATACATGCTGACAGAGCTGAGTAAACCTTCACAAGTGGTGACCTTGCCAGTATACATGTTGACAGAGCTGAGTAAACCTTCACAAGTGACGACCTTGCCAGTATACATGTTGACAGAGCTGAGTAAATCTTCACAGTGGGTGACCTTGCCAGTATACATGTTGACAGAGCTGAGTAAACCTTCACAAGTGACGACCTTGCCAGTATACATGTTGACAGAGCTGAGTAAATCTTCACAAGTGGTGACCTTGCCAGTATACATGTTGACAGAGCTGAGTAAACCTTCACAAGTGACGACCTTGCCAGTATACATGTTGACAGAGCTGAGTAAGCCTTCACAAGTGACGACCTTGCCAGTATACATGTTGACAGAGCTGAGAAAACCTTCACAAGTGGTGACCTTTCCAGTATACATGTTGACAGAGC